CCTTAATGATTGTCTGAATTGTCTTGAATATTAATCCCTAATCAAGTACATGATATCAAATACCTGGTCGAATTCAGTAGACTATCTTTTCATTCCTTTTATGTTCTCTTTTGCTATACAAACGATTTTTAAGTTAAAGTAGTTTTCACTTTTCACTTTAATTTTTCTTGCTATTAGAATTGAGGCCCCCAAAACATCTCCAACCACTAATATTATATAACATTTCACTGGTTATCTTCTCTGTACTTTCTGCTCTCAGGTCTTACCTATAGGATTTTGTTTTTTGGTTTGTTTGTTTTTTAATAATTTTGGTCTTTAGGGTTATATAGTGTCCATTGTTTTTCTTTTGTGTGTGAATATCCAGTTTTAGCAGCACCATTTGCTTAAGAAACTCTCTTTTCTCTATCATATGGTCTTATCCTTTCTCATCATTTAAAAGTAAATGAGTAGTTTATTTATGGGTCTTCAATTCTATCGCATTGATCTAAATGTCTGCATGTATTCCAGCAGCATGTAGTTTTAATTATTGACCCTCTGTAGTTACACTATGCATTCTTTTGATTCTTTGCTTTTCAAATATGTCCTGTGAACATGAAACACAATTGAATTAGAACATTTGGAGAAACTCAAGATAGAATCACAAAGATCAGAGTGATCCTGGGCAGTGTAAGTGTTCGTGTGGCTGCTTCTTGTATGCACAATTGCCAATGAACAGTAGGAAAAGTTCTGCAGTGGAGACAGGGCCTTAAATTGACTCACCCCTACGCCTGCCCCTACCACCACCATCCACTCCCCCAACCACTACATCACCTCTAAATATTGAAAGAAATGTAGACTAAGGAGTATATAAATGAAAGAAATATTGTGGTTGGTCTACTCAGCAGCATAGACCAGCTCTAAATCAAGAGAACAGAATTCAAAGGTGAAAGGGAATTACTAAAACAAACTATTATGCAAAAAAGTTCCCCAAAAATAGAGGGTCCAAAAGAAACAATCATTCTGAATTATCCATCTCCCTCCAGAATAGGGTCACTTAAAGCATGTTCTTTTTGAGCAGAGATCTTGATGGAGAAAAGCCAAGAAGTATAGATACTATAAGTAGTTACAACAGTGATTTTTTTTTAACTTTTTTTTTTTCACATCCGAGGACCAGCAGTTGAAATCCACTGACTTAAAGCACCATCATTTTGGTTTGCAAATCCCTTGATAGTCAGATTGTCCAACCTGGATTTCATCTTTAAGTCCATTCTTCTCTCATATTATCACAGTTAATAATAATAATATTTTACAGTCAATGCTGCACACAAAAAACTTTAATAAGCAGTGTGGAGTTTACCTTTAGAACAATGTTAATGGGGAGAAATGATAATTATCAGAGAAGTATATATGGATATATATCATCAACTTTTGCTCTTTTTTAATGCATAAAATTGGCATTTTAATATTTTGTATATAATATGTGCATGTGAGCAAATTTGGATTACTAAGCATATATTTTACAAGTTTGGGGTAAAATTTACTGTGTGAAGAACTAAGACCATTTTTTCCATTATTAATCAAGTATGTAAGTATGTGATAAATATTAAGTGCAAGATTTGTTTTGGGGGGACAGCCCCACCCGGTGGCCCTCAGGGGCGTTGGCTTAGTGCATATAAAGCAGATCGACACATATGACATATCTGGCAAACACCCAAAAAGTGTTGGCTGTGATTTGTTTATTATTTATTTATTTTTATTTTTTGAAGGGCTCTATGCTATAGTTGGTAGTACTCAGGGCTTATTCCTGACTTTGTGGTCAGATATTACTCTTGCTGGACTCAGAAGACACAGTGTGGTATTGGGGATCAAATCCGGGTAGGCTACATGAAAGACAAGCATCCGACTCACTTTATTAGCCAGCCTCTCTGATTCACTGTTATCACCAATCCATTATTTGATTGAATTTATTTCTGTTTATTACTATTGCACATATGACCACCATGAAACACAAATTTTTTAATTTTTTTAATTTACTTTTTTTTTGGTTGCTTACTATTTTTTTTAATTTTTCTAAATTTTTTTTAAATTTTTATCAGTGAAACACCATCAGGTACAGTTATAGACTTATAAATTTCTGTGCTTGAGTTTCAGTTATACAGTGATCAAGTACCCATCCCTCCACCAGTGCCCATCCTCCACCACCACGGGTCCCAGCATCCCTCCCACCCCCCATACCCCCCGTCCCACCCTGCCTCTGTGGCAGGGCATTCCCCCTTGTTCTCTCTCTCTTCTTTTGGGTACTGTGTTTTGCAAGAGAGGAATTGAGTGGCAATCATGTTTGGTCTATAGACTGCTTTTAGCATGCTTCTCCCACCCTGGGAGGGTCCTCACAACACCCTTTATTTGGTGCTCTCTTCTCTATCTGAGCTTCCTTTTTATCTCTGTGTAAAATTTCTTTGGAACATCTCTTGAGAAGGAATCAGTAATTCATAGGGTGTGCATGATGTCAATTTTGCTTGATATTGCCAAAACCAACTCCACCAATTTATGCTCCCAGAGTGCTATTTGGTAATCCCTATTTCTCCATCGTCTCAATGACAGGTGCCATTGTCTCTTAGGTTCTAAAGTTTACTTTTTTGAAATGTTTAATTCAATGGGTTTTGGTAAATTCACAATAATATACAGTAATCACTGCCTTATTTTAGAAGAAAACCCTTTATCCATTAGCAGTCACTTCCAATTCACCCTTGCTTCCAGTCTCTTTCCATTGTTAGTATTCTTTCTGTCTCTGTGGATTTGTACATCCAGTTCTTTATGTATTCAGAATACATGACCAATTTATCAGATACATGATTTTAAAATACTTTATCCCATTTTGTGAGTGCTTTATTGTCTTTATTTTCTTTTTTATTTATTTTTTCATTAGTGAAACATCATGAGGTACAGTTATAGACTTACAAATTTTTGTGCTTGGGTTTCAGTTATACAATGATCAAGTACCCATCCCTCCACCAGTGCCCATCCTCCACCACCACGGGTCCCATCATCCCTCCCACCTCCCACCTCCCCATCCCACCCTGCTTTTGTGGCAGGGCATTCCATTTTGTTCTCTCTCTCTCTCTCTCTCTCTCTCTCTCTCTCTCTCTCTCTCTCTCCTTTTGGGTCCTGTGGTTTGCAAGAGAGGCATTGAGTGGCAATCATGTTTGGTCTATAGTCTACTTTCAGCATGCTTCTCCCACCCTGGGGGGATTCTCCCAACACCCTTTATTTGGTGCTCTCTTCTCTATCTGAGCTTTCTTTTCCCCTAGCACGTGTGGCTGGCCTCCAAGTCATGGAGCAAAATTCCTGGTACTAATCTTGGCCACTTCTGGGTGTTAGTCTCCCATTTTGTTGCTTTATGTTCCCCAGATGAATGCAATCTTTCTGTGTCTATCCCTCTCTTTCTGACTCATTTCACTTAAAGGGTTGGACCAGTCGGCATTCCCACCAGCAGTGAAGGAGGGTCCTTCTCACCACATCCGTGCCAGCATCGGTTGCTTTTGTTCTTTTGGATGTGGGCCAGTCTCTGTGGTATGAAATGATATCTCATTGTTGTTTTGATCTGCATTTCCCTGATGATTAGTGATGTAGAGCATTTTCTCATGTGCCTTTTAGCCATTCGGATTTCTTCTTTGCGAAAGTTTCTGTTCATTTCCTGGCCCCATTTTTTGATGGGGTTGGGTGTTTTCTTCTTGTGGAGTTCAACTAGTACCTTGTATATTCTTGATATCAACCCCTTGTTGGATGTGTATTTGGCGAATATCCTTTCCCATTCTGTAGACTGTCTTTGTATTTTAGTCACTGTTTCTTTTGAGGTGCAGAAGCTTCTTAGTTTAAGATAGTCCCATTTGTCTACCTCTGTTCTCACTTGCTTGGCCAGTGGTGTGACATCTTTGAAGATACCATTAGCTTCAATATCATCGAGAGTTTTGACAACTTTGTCTTCACTGAACCTTATGGATTCCAGTGTGATGTTGAGGTTTTTAATCCTGGCATGGCGTTAGGCAGAGATCTGAGCCCACTTTTTTTAATGTACCTGTCAGGTTTTGCCAGCGCAATTTGTTAAAGAGGCTTTCCCTGCTCCATTTCACTTTTCTTGCCCCCTTATCGAAGATTAGATGATCATATGCTTGGGAGGAGATATCAGTGTATTAAACTCTGTTCCATTGGTCTGCAGCTCTGCCTTTGTTCCAGTACCATGCTGTTTTAATTATTACTGCTTTGTAGTAGAGCTCGAAGTTGGGGAGGTTGATTCCTCCCATTTTCTTTTTCCCAAGAATTTCTTTAGTTATTCGTGGGGGCTTATTGTTCCATATAAATTTCAGGAGTGTTTGCTCCATTTCTTTGAAGAATGTCATGGGTATCCTTATAGGGATTACATTGAATTTGTACAGTGCTTTGGGAATTATTACCATTTTGACAATGTTAATTCTCCCCATCCATGGACAGGGGATATTTTTCCATTTCCTCGTGTCCTCTTTTATTTCCTGAAGTAGCGTTTTGTAGTTTTCTTTGTACAGGTCCTTTATGTCCTTAGTTAAGCTGATTCCCAGGTACTTGATTTTCTGGGGCACAATTGTAAATGGAATTGTTTTCTAATGTGAATTGGTGGATTTCAGTATTTGTGATTTTCATGTGTTCCCTCAAAACTTTAGTTCTCAAAATTTCCTGCATTATGTGGCAAGTGATTTATAGGCAGAGAGCCTGGAAGTGAGTTCTGAGAGTAAGTATTCCATAGCGGCTGCTTAGTCCATAAAAACAGACCAGAGTAAGGATCTCAGCCAGCACAACATTCAGCTTGCTAACACAGCAAAGGCACTTTTTTTCCTAATTATAATTAGAATTCAGTAATGAAGACCATGGAAAATTTCCCTCTATTTTCAAATTGCTGATGGATTGTTCATTACAAGCACTTAAATTTGTCTAACCTGGCCTTTTCCTTTTTCCTCTTCTTGCCTCCCAACTGCCTCTTTCCCTCTCAGACTGAAGATGGCTCAGGAATCAGTCAGCAAGTTGACTTCAGAGAAGAAAGTGGAGACCAAGAAAATCAACCCCACAGCTAGTCTGGTGAGATACGTTTTTCCACATAGCCTGAAGATATTTCAACTATGAAATTTCCAATAATTTCATGTCTAAATATCTAAATGCATGCACTAAAACGTGAAGGAATGAGAGATAGGATTCTCAGTTCCTGACTCAGTAGCATATGGTAAGAAAGAATATAGGGAAGGGAGCAAGGAACAAAACCCAGGCTTTCCTTTCCCCATCCTAAGTTATCTCAGAGTACCTTCTTCCTGAATTAAGCATTTTTACAACTTCAGTTACTTTTGCAACTAACGGGAATTATACCTTCTTACAAAGAGTTGGGAAAAGTGAACTGCAGAATGATACAATCTACTTAGGATCACTTCATAAATGGATAGCCAAGCCTGCCACAAATTTAGGACCCCTGATGTGTCTTCCTGGGCTGAAAATTAGCCTTCTTGGCTGTCCTCCTAGCTCTGAGGGGAAGTTGTCCTCCACAGTCCATTTTTCAGTAAAGATATCATTAATCATTGCCTATATCATAGTAATTCTTTATAAGTAATGATATCATACCATTCTCTATAGGCTGTGGGTATTGCTAAATGTCTAGGAGTTTAAGGTGTCAGGGTTTAAGACTCAGCTCAGCCACTTAACTACTTGTAAAATCTTGGGGATGTTGCTTTGCTTCTTTCTTTTCTGAGCTAAGAGGTGAATCAATATTACCATTGCTTTAGTGTTTTTTGAAAGAAACTGAGAAGAGATGTGCAAAGTGTCTACCACATAAGAGCTTAATAAATGAAGGCTCTGTTTCTTGTTACTTCAGTTTGCAGATTTGGTTGACTGTACACTGGGGAATAGCATTGAGTGCTAAGTGGGAGTATCCTGTGCCTCCCTTTCAGACCCTACCTTTCCTGTATTCTGATGTCCCTCTTCTAGTTATTTTATCCTTTTGTGTTAAAAGTACACAGCTGCTTTCAATCCTTCAACAATCCAAGTGGACTATCAGTTATAAAGTAAAATGATTTCTGTTGATGGACAGTGGTGTCCCTAGTAACAACCCCATCAGCAGCTAAATGAGTGTTGAGTGAGGCTGGTGAATGGAGAAGTTGGGGCTGTATTGCTTACTACTTGGTTAAGGAAAGTTCTGGTTCCGGCACATAGCCCCTCCCCAATCAGACATGATGTCTGTGCCCATTTGACAGTATGTTTAATACACTCATTTGTAAGAGTTTTAGTGGTAATGGGCTCAACCTGATTTTTTTCTGTTTTTTTTTTTCATTTTTGTTTTTTTGGGTTTTTTGTTTGTTTGTTTTTGGTGGACCACACCTGGTGATGCTCAGAGGACCTTGCACTGCTGGGAATGAACCCAGAGCTCTGGCATGCAGAGCCTTTGAGCCTACCCCCTTAACCTGATTTTTTATTTTCCTTTTTCTCAGCCTCAGCCCCTTGTCCTAAGCCTTATATTTGGAACACTCTCCTAACTTTTATAGTCAGACCCTATTCCAGAAGCAAAAATAGATTCAGCCTTGTAGACAAAGGGCAAACAGTGTCTACAGCTTTTTTTTTAAATTGATGACCTTCACTATTAATAGGCTTTGATTGCAAACCCACGTTGCTAGGGTTGTTTGTTTGTTTCAGTGGAAATTTAGGAAGAGTTTGTAAATGAATTTCTCATTCAGTTTCTCAAGTCAAGAAATGAGAAACTTGAGAAATTTGGATCATGGCATCCAAATTCTAACGGTCTTTAAAAATTAATTTCAGTTTACATTGGGGCCAGTGTTTCTTAGACTTTTTCCTATCTTGTTTCTTTCCTGTGGTTCCCCTGCCCTACCAGTTGATCCCCTACTTTCCTACCATGACCTCCCATTTATGCCATTTTCATATGTGTCTCCTCCTTGGAATATCCTTTGATGGCACACACAGGGTTATATGGCCACTAATTGAGAAATGCAAATCTAGACTAATTTGGGATTTTAATCTCACCTCACATCTCATAAGCAAATGGTCCAGAGGATCCTAGAAATTATTCTTTCTAAAGGAATGTATCTCTCCCCTTGTTGACTTTCTGTACACTTTCCTTGAAGAGCAAACAAAATCATTCTTAATATATTTACTTCTCAAAAGTCCTAGGAACAATGAAGGTTCTTATTTCTGTTTAGTACAGTTTTATCTATGATTACAATGTGCCAGCAGATGCTGTATGCTTCCTAGAAAGGGTCGTAGGGAGAGATGCTAAGAGAGAGCGAAATAGAAGACTGGTAACAAAATGGGAGTTGATTCTACCTCTCAGCAGAGTCTAAGTATATCTGCTCATCTTCCATTTTACATCAGCTTTAATCAGTTCTGCCAAGTTGATCTTATGCAGATACATTCAAATTATAAACAGTGATTTTTCATATGCATACTCCTAGAAACTTCTAGTTCATTCCCTAATCCCACTAGATACTTCAGAAAGGAGGGGGGGTAGGTTGTGGAATGAGTCCTTGAGTAAGTAAACTTATGGCACTGGATCTGGGTTTGTCAAGAAGAAAACAGAATTCAAGCAGTCTTGTATGATGAAGGCCATTGATCTCATTTCTAGAGTATTTGGTGCAACTCTTTGATATTCTAGAGCAAAATTTGAGAAATTAAACTGGAGGAAGATGGAAAAAATAGAGACTGATTGATTATAAACTTATTTTTTTCCGTTAAACAACAGAAAGAAAGACTGCGTCAGAAGGAAGCCAGTGTGACTACCAACTAAAACAGTCTGAAAATGACGACAGCAGAGCTAGCACCTTGCATGATCCTTTGCAACTCCAATACTGCAGGAAGTTCTTGATGTTTGTTCAGCTCGTCTCTCTCTGAAGTTATCTGCACTGAGCACCCCTTGCCTTCCTAACATGTCCTTTATAAAGCCACACAACGATGAAAAAACTAAAGGAGCTAATGTTATTTGATGACTGCTTCTTACAATCCAAAGTACACTCTGAGACCAAAAGAATTACCAAGAGTTCCAATCTTTCTTTAAGCGGAGATTTCAAGTTTTCTAACACAAACTTGAGAGCCATGAAACTTAAGACAGACAAAAAGGAGAACCTTCTATGACAGTTTTCTGGGTAGTTTTCATCTTGGTCTTTATATACTGCTGGTATGTGTATTGGTCTTAATTTTGATCTTAAGGTCACAAAATTCTGTACCTGAACGTGCTGAAACTTACCATGTCTATTTTTTTTTAATTTTTATTAGTACCATGTCTATTTTTTAAAGGATAACTCAAACTATTTTCCAGACAAGATAAATGGTTATTTTGTTGTTTTTCACATGGATAGGAGAGAACATGTAATTATGCCTTTGTGTCAATGCGATTAATAGCCATAAACTTGATCATGGGAAGTGAGTTCTGATCAAGGAAGTTGATGTCAGCCAGAACGAGAAACCCGCGGGGGTGGGGGTTGGGGGGCAGAATATCAGTTTACTGTGATTTCTTACAGAGATTCTGCACCCCAATTTTTACAACAAGTAGTGATACATAAGCAAGGATTGCTTGAGATAAGAGGACCTTCCATCAGGGAATAGGAAAAGCCATGATGACAGACAGCAGAGCTGTTCTCACGACATGTGTGGGGCTGGACCACTCCAACCACTTGGTCCAGGAGACAGTTTCCAAACAAGGGAGCAAATACTACTACAAACTTCCCTCATGGCATGTGACATTGGGTTAAGAAGGAGCCTTTATGTCAAAAAATAAAGAAATACATAAAAGCAAAAAAATTCCTTTACGTCAAAATGAGAAAAAAGCAGTTAGTATTACAGCCCCACGAGTGGGAAGGCATGGATAGGCATCTTTTTCTGAACTTGGGAGCCAATTTGAGTCACAAAGAAGACCATACCTAACCTCTTTACTGATGTTTTTTATTCTTAAGCCACTATTCTTTGAATCTGCCTTGTGTGGGAAAAAGAGGTGACTAGAGGTGAATTGAGAATAGGATCAGAGGCTACCACATTTTATTCTTGAAGAGATCCAAGCATTCCCCTATCCGTGGTTAAGGATGACCTAGAGATAAGCAAGGTCTTTAAAACCCTCTTGGTCAGCTACTTTGTATAGTCTGTCCCTTGCCCCAGCATTTTTCCAGAAGCTTTCATTTTTGTGCCGGAAACTTTTGCCTCTGGTACTCAAGTAACTACCCAGGACTTGCCTGTCAGTTATAAATCTCCTCAGGGAGCCTAATAATAGATTCAACTAATTAATGCAATACCATATAATTTCCATCTCTGGAATCAGTAGTTCAGAGTCAGGATCAAATCAAGTATCAGAAGCCATATTCATGCTGGTACTAGCCATTCCCCACCCCCACTCCCCACCCCCCTTGCCTTCTAACATTTCAAATGAGTGGAATATGGCAACATGGTTGACTTTTTTTTTTACTTAAAATAAAAGATAAGATATGCCAGACATAAATGATGGTAAGAAGCTTACATGACCAAAAGATGTTGCTTGTGAGTTAGAAACTTTCTATACTACTCCTTATAGGGCTTTTCTCCCTTTTCACTGAACTGAAAACCAAGGGAATTTCCATCAATCTCAAACAAATTCCTCTTACCACCACCCTCTACATAATTATTTCTAGTATTAACATGGTGAAGAAAAGTGCCTGACTTATTCCTACCTGAGTCATCAACCTTAATTTCAGTGAGTCCAACATTTATTTAGATCCTTACAGCTGCTTTGAGACTTGATGAGCTTGAAGGCTTGAAGGCTCTCGGTCATCATAACCCACTCCTATCCCTAAGCTTATGTTAATACAAAGATCACAGAAGGTAAGCAGAGCTGTTACTTGGATCATATAACCCTGCATGCTCTCGGGGAACCAGTGCTAAAGAAGGTTGAGTAGAAACTAAAATCTGAGAGTTAGATATATGCAGCCCAAGTTGGATTTCATCTTAAAGAATAAGGTCAAATTATTAGTATGATCCCTATTTCTAAAGAGAAAAGTTGACCTCTTGAGAAAACCAAAACCAACTGTACTATAATGTAGTCTCCATTATTCTCACTATGAACCCTGCACTGTGTGTTCTAGACGTTTCTTCCTAAGTCCACAGGTGTACTACATTGTTGACACAGTCTATGACGTACAGTGATGCTCAGTAAAGGTTCCCAAGAGTTTAGTCAAATGCACCATTTGAAATAATCTGTGGGTCCCTAAAATGATCCTTCTTAAATGCAATTGAAGTGATATTCAGGGCACTAAGCATCTCTAAACTTTTCATGTAGAGGAAGCAGTTGGGGAACTTAAATAAAGCAAGTTGTAGCCATTCCTGAGCAGAATAGCCAAATCTGAGTTGAACCACACCCTCACATCTGACTTACCAGTTGAATCTTGAGAAACCTTAACTTGTAAGTGGCATTTCCTTATCCTACCCAAGAATCACTACATCTAAGCAGAGGCTTTAGTTCAGCTTCTTGCATGAGTCACAACAATCACAAAGCACACTAACGCATGATATAAACATGTTAGTTACAAAACATCAGGCCTGCAGGGATTTAAAATCAGATTGAGAAGAGGTACACTCTGTTTTTTTTTTTTTTATCCAAGAAAGGCAACCAGTGAGGGAGATGAGGGGGAGGGCAGGGCTATGTGGTAGCCAAGCAAAAATAGATGAATTTGCTTATAGTGGTGGTTCAGGAGTCACAGATGATGAGCCTACCAACCAATAGTTTTCTTTCTAATCCATGAATTGACATCTACAATGCCTCTTTGAAATACTACTAGATTTGAGTTTTATTTTACTTTGGCCCTACCTGTTCTAATCAGGAAAAAAAGTAGCTAAAAATTGGAAGGGAAAAGAAAAACCATCAGCAGGTTTGGTCAGTCACAAATTCATTTATCAGTTCCAGAACAACCACCCCCCCCCAAAAAAAAAAACCACCCAACTTGCAATGAAATCCAGAGTATACAAGTCCTAAGCATAAGAATGTGTTGGGCTGGAGGTAAAGTGGAGGTCGGGCACTTACCTCACACATAACCCATTGAGATCAATCCCTGGCACCACATATAGCCTCCCAAGTCCCACTGGGAGTGATCCCTGAGCACTAGTAAGTATGGCCAAAGAAAACAAAAATCAAAATAAAGAATGTGAACAGCTGCAAGGGCTAATGAGTGTAGACAAAGTAAGAAATGTCTATTGTTTGTTTTAGACTTTAGCCCCAAACCTGGCAAGTTTTTGAGTGTAGATTCTAATGAATTAAGGATTACCCAAAACAATTGATTTTTTTTAACTAGCACATACAAGGGTGTGATACAGTGAGAAAAATGCTTTGCTATTAAAATTTCTTTATTCTGGGTTGTCTTTCAAGGGTTGTATTTAAACAATGGAACATCCAGAAGACCATGAATATCACTTTTTTTTTAATTGTCTTAACATGTAAGATCAGGGAAAGTGGAAGAGAGGGGGTTGAATTAAAAGATGAACTTATTCACCTCAGGTATTTTGTCATTCATCATAAGGAAATCTGCAACATAAGAGAATCAAGTTGTGGCAAAACTAATATTTGAGACTAGTATTTGAGAAGAATGGATAGCTTTTAGCCTTTCCAACATGCAAATAGCTTGTTGGATATTTTTCCATTTTCCAGCTATAGAAAGAGTTCAGCTGCTTGGAAATTTCTCTATTATTGGTGCAGAAATGACTAGAAGAAAAGCACCGTCTGAAACAAGTTTCAGCATAGCTGGCTCCTTTAGACTCATGGTAGTATTTATAACTCCTTTAGAAACTGAATCCAGGCATGCGTAGGCTCGGTTCCACTGCTGTGTGCCACTGAGAGACCCACTTTGTGTCATGCCAGCAGTTGGTGGCTTTTTTGTTAGAAGCACTGAAAGTTTCCCAATTCCTCCTCTTCCCTTCTAAGAAGTGGGCAGTCTACCAAACTGTCCCAGGTCAGTGCGTTGCTAGGCACATATGAGAGAGAGAGAGAGAATCTCAACAAGTCAAACTTGAAGACAACTCAGTAGCCTTGTTTACTTGAAATTGTTATGATAGGAAAAAGGGAGCTGTTAAGTCCCCAGGAAGTTCAACCAAAGAAGTCATTAAGGAATAAGGAAGCCAGTCAAGCTTTGTCCCTTTCTCTTGTCCCCCAGAGTAACATAGAGGTTCTTTGCCTCCTTCCCTTTTCTGCTCTGAAGGTTTAAGCAAAATGCATCATCTTTTGAGAATATAAACAGAAAGAAGGACTTCCTTTAAGGAAATCATCTAGTATACCCCCTGTTAAAGCAAAATTTTTTTAAATTAGAAATTGAATACTTTTAAAGCCCTTGGGAAAAGACATGCCGGTGATTCATCATAGTCTTTTCTTTTTGTTAAATTTCAATGTAACAAAATTACATTAAATTTTGTTTTAAGTACAAAATTTAAAATTTTATGTATGTTTTAATGTGTGAAGCAGGGTATCAGTGAACTGTGATCTAGGGACTTGTACTTTGTCCTGGGAAAGCGATGCTGAGCGTGCATGCACAGAACCTAAGTGGAATCAGTGCCCAAATAGGAAGTAGGCCTAACAAAAAATGGCAATTATTTCAAGTCCTTTAAGGGCTTTGTTTTTATCAGTGATGAAAAGTGACTGTCCATGCTACTTCCTCAAATGCTTTTGGCCAGGCAACAAAACCTGCCTTTTTGCTACTTTGCAAGCAATGGCATGAGGAGAGAAAAACAGGAGACCTGGAAGGAGGAATATTTGAATAAGGCTAGGAAAGTTTTTGCTGAAATAGTGCTTTGCCCAGGAGTTGATGGTTTTTGTCATGTTTGTGTCATGGGCTATTTGTAAAAGAAACTCAAGGTAATCTGTGTGAGGCAAATTAGAGGGCCCAGACTCCTGTATTAGTCTGTGCTGGATAATGTGAGGGGAAACAGCATCCCAAGGATTGTGG